AACCGTTTAAAAATTACCAGTACCTTTACACTTCTTTATTTTGTATTTTCTTATTAAGAATTCTGACCAGTATGAAATTTTAACTGAAGAATGTAATTGCAAACCTTTACCACGTAAATAAATTTTATGAATATTTCATGAAACCTGTTTTTATTTTAATGTTTCTCCACGCATTGTTAATTCTGAAAACTAATAATCAGATTTTTTTCTCTCCAGCTGGTTCAGGTTTTCTAAGGTCATGGGAATCTCTCTTAGTTGGAGGTGTTGGTGCTGTGCTTTTGAACATAGTTCCTCCTTACATGGACAAATACATAATTGACAATCCTGTTGGTGCCGTAGCTGTGCATGCCATGGGTGGTCTATGGGGAAAGATTGCAGTTGGATTATTCATTGATGATGACTTACTCAATCTTACGCACAGTCGAAGTGGACTACTGAAGGGCGGTGGCCTGTATCTGCTGGGAGTGCAACTATTGGCATGTATTGCTGTCAGTCTCTCTAGCATGATCACTACATATCTTATATTTAAAGTAAGTTGAGCAACATGAAAAATTCAATGAAATTACATATTAGTAGCCAGAGCCGTGATAGCTCAGATGGTAGAGAGTTCGCGTTCGAATGAGGTGACCCGGGTTCGAATTCCAGTGATGCTGGTCGATACGAATTCCGTATCCGGCTTGCACCGACTACAGTGCTGACGTAAAATATCCTCAGTGGTAGACGAATTTTGGGTTAGAGTCCCCTTGCCTTCTGGCTAACCATGAGAGGTTTTGGTGGTTTTCTTATCCATGTAACGCAAATGCGGGTTAGTTCTATCAAAAAGTCCTCCACGAAGACAAATTTCTCTCACTTCTTGATTGAGGAGTTCCCTTGTCTTTTGGATGGGGTGTAAAATTACAATGCTACGGAGTTGAACATTATTAGGTGTAAACTCACAAAATTGGGTCGGCTGTTCAACGACGGTTATAAAAAGGAAAAAACATTAAAGATTATAAAATATAATAAATGCAGTAATGTACCAAAATATAATAAAGTAATTGCATTTCCTTTCATTAATATTTAATTTCTCATAATAATTTCATTATTAATTATGGTGAGCTTTAGCATAATATAAAAATATTTTTGTTAATTGCGATTTGATTGTCCCTTTACTACCACTTTGGAAATTATCCTTGCAGAGAAAAAAAATTCGCAGTTATATTGTTATTCTTTTTTTTNTTTTTTTTTTTGCTTTGATTTGTTACAATTTTTTATTAATGATATTTGTTTTTAGGGAATCGATTATTTTGCACCAATTCGTCTGGCACCACCCGAAGAAATCCTTGGAGCAGATTTTGTTGAGCACGACGTCCGCCACAAAGGTTATAAGTACGAAGTGATGATGACAGAATTGGCAAACCTGGGATTGAAACTCCGACATCCTCGAATCCACAATCCACCCAGGAGTCAGTGGGATGATCATCTAATCTAATCCTACAGTACATTGAAAAAATTCTCAACAAAAGTGACACCTCAACAGTGGACCACCCTTTGCCTGACATAACAATCGATCTTCCTATCTCGACTGGAGAACATTTCCTCATAAGGAGCGATTGAAGGACAGATGGATGCTATTTATCTTAATTTATTATCTATTTGCCATAAAAGAAAATACTTGAATTTTACGAGAAAGGATAACAGACCTTTTCAATGATATTAGAAATATGTGAGTTCTTGAAAAGATTCAGAGATGAGCCTCGGAAAAGTGGCAAATATGTAGTGGATATAGTAGTTTTTTTTCAACCGGTCAAGTGTGTTTAACGAGAATACACGTCGTATAGACGTCGTTTAAAATAAAAAAAATTACCATGGAGTAGTCTTGGCATTTCAATAAAACACAACTAAAAAATTATTGGGTGGTGTGTTTCCTTTTAATTACTCGTTTAACTGCTACGACGTGTATAAATGACGTGTTGGGGGGGGGATCGTGATCCGAAGTTAATAACATACGTGGTCAGAGCCGTTTTTGGACCCTCCCCTCCTTCCCCCACTCCTCCCCTCTTTTCAAAATATATGCTGAATATATAAATGAATCTGAGATTAAACTAAAAGCGCAAAATTTGGTGAAAATTTACTCATCCGATTTAGAGGAAAACTTTGTAAATGAATTTTTACTGTTTTCAAATTTGTATGAACATAAATCTGCACAAGAAATGTTAAAGGTTCAAATTAAAGATAAACTTGTGAATACTTTTCCTAACGTTCACATTGCATTAAGAATATATTTGTCGATTCTTGGATCAGATGCAGAAAGAGAAAGATCTTTCTCCAGATTAAAATTGATAAAAAATTATTTGCGTTCAACAATGAATCAAGATCGTTTGGCATCGCTCGCACTTATGTCTATTGAATACGACATTTTGCGTAGTTTGGAATTCGACAGCATAATACAAGATTTCGTTGAATCCAAAAATCGCAAAAAAGTAATATATTAGATCATAAGATTCTGCAAAATAATTTATTGCCGAAAAATATTATATTTTTATTTGTATCTTCATAATTTTGAGCAAAATACACTTGTTGTTTTTAAAGCTAAATTATTTTTGTCAACAAATTTTTTTCTCCCAAGTTTTTTGTAGGCAAGTGCCTAGTGTGCCTGTAGGTTAATCCGGCCCTGTACGTGGTAAATACTAGCTATTTTCTCTAGGAGACCGAGTCCTAGACACACTCTGGTTATAAAAATCCCAAGCTTTCGATCTCAAAAGTTCAGAGATGAAAGATCGTCCGAAAAAGGAGTTGTAGCATAACCATTTAATTCGCGAGTTGTGAAAGAATTTTTAATTATTATCTCTAAATATCCTTGAGACTTGGTTAGAGTGCTCAGATGTCTCCGTGTGTGTGTGTGGTTCCGTGAATGACCGAAATCTAGAGGAATGTCGACTTTCACCGGGTGAATGTCAACAATCTCATAGTCTTCTTGGTGAATGTCCGAAATATTTGTTACATCCGATTTTATATTTATATTTTCTTTGATATTATTATATTTATTCGATATTTAAATATCTGCTGAGGATAGATTGGGGGAAACATCAGCAGTACTAGTTAAATGCATACTAAGTAGTGACCTTCAAAATCATTGATGTAGGGCATAACGGACGGACAGAGGCACTGAATTTTAAAAATTATTGATGTAGGGCATACCGGGCAGTCGCAATTAACTAGATCTCGTATATATTTCGGACATTACCAAAGTGACTATGTGATTGTCAACAACCACCAACT